ATCAGAATACAATGCTTCACACTGTCATCCTACAATCACATCATGTATTTCCTACACAGTCACGGTAGGAATGGATGTGACTTCAAGCTTATTCTTTCAATAAGTGTCCATGAACTTTAATCTATAATACTTTCTTAGGCAAAACACTTGTGCTCCTGCTTAAGAAACAGAGGTATAATTATGAAGGTATAACACTGCATGCATGAGGAAAGACACAAATGATGCTTCCCTCTATATAAATTTTATTTATAAATGTACAATAGTTCTAATTTTAAGCAACTATATCTGCTTTTCAAAACAAGTGTTAATTTAAATCTTTTGCAAAGGTATTGTCAAGAGATCAAAAATTATCAATAAACATATTTGCCTCCTTTCCTTGAGCTCTTGCAGTATTCCCCTTCCAATGGATGTAAAGCTAACAATTTTTTTGGTATAATTTCTAGACTGAAAATTTGCATGGCATATCAAGCTTATTTCTTATGTAACTTTTAGACTTAGAGCATTCATCAAGCCCATAGAATTCATACACGTTTCTTCATGTTATTTAAAAGGCTTTCACTACATCTGATTACAGAGAAGACATTTCATATTCAGGCTCTTCAAGAATGTTCCTCTTGACAAGCAAAGAACTTCTTGACCACAGTGCATTTCCTTTTAAGGGGTTCAGGTTTTACATCTACAGACTAATTTACATCAAAGAAAGCATTTTGCTGAATTACTGCACTACAACCAGTTCTTTTTTTTTCAGAAAACATCACAATAACTTTTAGCTTGGCTTTTTCAGAAACACCTAACGAAGACTTGTACACTGCAGCCACAATCCTCACTTAGCTCAATCAAATGATTCTTCTTTTGATTTTACCCCTTAATTTTTCTTAAATGGACCAACATTCTCTCTCCCAATCTTATTTCATCTTCTAATGCTGAGCAAGTTCATTTGTTCAATACAAGCAAAAAACTGCAAAACATCAACATAGGAAATACCATGCCAGAAACTGCGGTTAGTGAAATTGCAATCAAGTTGGTTACCATTTTACTTGAAAATTTACAGGAAAGATGGAAAGACTTTCTGGGTTTCCCCTCTCTCCCCCCCATGAACAGTTAGCTAGTTCTACTCAAAACAACATTATTTTTGAAAACAGTTTTGCTCAAGTTGGGAAATATGCAACAGAACACAACAAGCAGCTCACATGACAGCGTGCCATATTTAAAGGATTCATCCTAGCCTTTGATGTCAGCTTGAAATTTCTACTCTAAGTATACAAGAACTTTTCAAACTGAATTAAAGCTTGCATATATAACTCAGTCACTCTAGGTTTCTAGAGATAAGTCTCATGTTTTCATATACATTCACACACACACAACATTTTCAAAAGCACGACTGCACAGCTACATTTAAACTATACGTATTTAAAAATGGCAACAAATGAATTATTTAAAAAAACAAGTGTTGCTGCACACTGAAATTCCAGGCTAAAGACAGAAAGCATACAAGACATGGCCAACGTATCACCCTGCAGTTTAATACTGACAGATATTTGAAGTATTTCGTCTCTGCAGAAGAATTACCAGGAACACGTTTCAGAAACAGCATGTGAGCGCACAAACAAATAAGGATTTAACTTATCATAATACAGTATGCATTTGGTTTAGCAAATTTAATCATTATCAGTCCACAAAGCAATAGATATAACTGCAATTTTGTTTGCAGTGATATTCAACTTAAATTCCACCAAAAGTTTAAGTGATAAGTTATTGAATTGTCAGATTCTGCTAATGAATAATAACTTTAGCTAGCAGCATTTTAAAGACCAGGGTTCCAGTAGCAAATAACTGCCTGTAATGCAAAATCTTTCCATCAGGTGATCTGAAAGTACTATTAGATAATTACCCTGATTCTCTTTCTTACACTACAAATCAAACACAAAGATACATAGAAAGGGGAACTAATCAACAAAGTTTACTCCAAAAAAACCTTATTTGCTAGGTCAAAAAAGTGGTCAGTTTCTCTCCTTGTTGCAATGGTGCCTTCATGCTTTACAACAGAGCAAACAAGAAGTGAAGCCTGGAAAAACTGTTAAGTTATACAACTGTAAATACAAGTAAAATCTCCTAAAACACTGGAATAGAATGAAGACAGTATCTTCAGCATTAAAAGAACCACACCCGTTTGCTAAACTGAATTACAAATTAGCTTACTCGCATTCTTCTTCTAAAGAAGTTAAAGCGATAATCATCAAGAAGTATCTTTTATTTTTTCAATGCAGAAGATTAAAATGGATTCATTAGTGCAGGGATGAAAGGACTCCTATTAGCTAGCTGTAAGAGCAGTCACACTACCTTTCTTAATTTAATGGCACCAAGTACAAAGAATATATATTTGTTATGATGGTTTTACTTCTGAGAGTCCATGCTGGGACATGCTGAAAAAAGTCTCTGTGGAGCATTTACAAAGGTAACAACATAGGCACAAGATCATAGCAAAACAATGCATTTTATACACATCAATTCTAGAGGTCTGTGCAATACCTTTTCAAGTCAGATGCACCTCAGTTTTCAATAGAAAACTTGGTAAAATTTACTCACATTATCCAACATATGAATCTTCCTCATCGCTTCTGTTACAAATATTTTATTATCGATATCTGAGTGAGCATCATACATCATAAGCTTGAGAGCTACTTTAGAGATGCATACCATGTAACAAAGATAAATTTTTTTTCTAAGATATGAATATGATTATGGCTGAACACAGCAGTGTAACTATTAATATTTTCCATCCATGGAGGCACGCTATTATTCTCTACCAAAAACAATTGTAAAAAAAGTATTATACCTGCAATCTCAGCACCTGTCAACACAAATATATTTGCATACATGCATGACCTAAAGGCCTGTAAGTAACCTAACACCTTTATTTCTCCTCTTAAAATGAAGGGGCTGTTAGTACTATAAATAGCTCCTACTACCACAGCATTACATAAGCTTGTAATCAAGAACCAAAATCATTCTCACATCTACTAGTTCAGGTCGTTTCCAGACTGACCTAAAGCAAACAGATTTCTTCTTGCTCTCTTATATGAGAATGCAAAGGAAAAAACACAGCAGTGTGCCAAATTTTTGGAGATCTTAATTCATATCCCAGCTTTATCTTCAAAACAGAAAGAAATACTGAACTACACCATGCAATATCACTCAGCCCTTTTGTAAGGGCCAAAAAAAACCCCACAAAACAACAACAAAAAAAAAACAACAGAACACCCAAACCTGTAATCCTTTATCTATCCTGAAGTAGCAAAACAGAAAATCCCAAACATCTGTTTTGTTTCTGGAAGTCGATAACAGCGTAATAGCTTCCAATTCAAGGAAAGGGTGTTAGAAACTCAGATCTAGAGAATTGTGTTTACTCATAGCTCTCAATCTCCAAGGGATTTGATGCGAATGTGATAGCACAGCACTTGTAAATCTTCCTATCACTGAAATTAAAATCAAGAAACACTTTAACATTGCGAAAGTTATATTGCAGCATATATTTTACCAGATAGACTTAACAGTTAATCTTATGCTCCCCTCGAAAGACCTATTTTTTAATATTTCCTAAAAAAATGCGTTGTTTTTAAACCAATCCCAAAGGTCTAACAGAATTGACTTTAATTTAGAGGAAAAAATGGTCAGTATATTTAGAGTATTCTCAACATTGTTGCAGCTTACTTGCAAAACGCACAGGGGAGTAATACAGGACATGAGAAGGCTTATTACAAAAGAAGAAGCAACTCTCAGCAACAATAGCAATGAACAAAGTTTAAAGATTTCATATTACATGCTTAAGATATTCCTATCTATAATCATAAACTTTTTTATATTCATCTTCCTTTACTCAAGCTTACCCTCCCTACAGATAAAAGTGCATGCAAAATACTAGCCCAATGAGTCAGTTAAAAATACACATCTGAATCATAGGTATGTTCTGAATACAACTTTAAAGCCAACGGGGATACTATTAATATATATAACTAGAGAAACAACTCAGCTAAATTCTTTTATTAATCAACTAGTCTATTCTAATCGCCTATTGAGTCTTAAGACTTTTTGTGAATATCCTCTTTATTTCTAGGTTTTGCTTCTTTAAAAATATTTATCCTCAATCCATTGATTTATGTTTTAGAGATTCTTTTTTTTTTTCAGAAAGTCTTAGAACTTTGAATTTAAAAACAGAAAGTTGATTTGATCCATAGGTATCTTTCGCTTACTTGCACAATTCCAAATACACACACTTGCTCCCAAAAAATTAGCACTAGTGCTTGCTTCAGAGTTCTGCTGAATTCTATAGAATTAACTCCCTCACTTGACAGCGCCTCCCATGTGCGGGCCTGATGAAGCAGGTGGGCAGAACAGACCACTGATTTTTGATGAAAAACAGCAGGGGCAGTTCGGACAGTTGAGCGGCGGGGTGAAGCGCTCTGCGCGGGGGCGGGAAGCCGGGCCCGGGCTTGCGGAGAGGCGGCCGCCGCCGCCACGCGTTCCTGCGAGCCCGCCTCGGGCCAGGGTTCCCCGCAGGCGGCTCTCGCCAGCCCCGCAGGGCTCCCCTCCCGCCCCGCGGCGTCCCTCGCGCTTGACACGTGTCATTTCCCTATCACCTCCGCGCACAGGCTCGGCCTTCCTCTTTCACTCCGCTCTTATCGCTGCCCGAGGCCGAGCGCGAGCCCTTCGCCCTCGCGCCGGGGCGGGCGCGGAGGCCGCGGCCGCCTCGCGGCTGCCATTTCGCACGCAGGTGCCCGGCCCTGCGCGGCCGCAGCGCTGCCAGGGCCCGACCCTGCGCAGCTCCGCAGGCCCTGGCGCTCGGCAGCCGCCATTGCCCGGCCAGCTGCGGCCTCCAGGCCCCGCGCAGCGGCCTTCCCACCAGGCCGCAGGCCTCAACTGCCCCCCCTCCTCTGCGGGCCGCGCACGGCGACGCCGAGCCAGGCCGCGGCCTCCGCCCGCGCTCCTCGGGCTCGCCTCACCTCCTTGGGGACGAGCTGGTTCTCCTCGCTGGGCACCATGGCCGGGGCGGCGGCGCGGGGCGCGCTGCGCTGCGCTGGGCCGGGCTGAGCCGAGCGGCGTCAGCGGCGGAGGGCGGGAGGGAGGCGGGAGGCAGCGCCCGCCGCGCCCTCCGCCCCCAGCGCCGCCGCCGCAACAGCAGCTCAATGGCAAAATGGCCGCCGGCGCCGCTCTCGCGAGAGCGCGCGGCGCCGCCTCGCGCCCGGCCGTTGGGCGGGGTGGCGGCGGCAGTAACGCGCCGTGTGGCGCAGCAGGGAATGGGGGGGGGAACGCGCGGCCGAGCGGCCCCGCCGCCTCCTGCGGCCCAAGGCCGAGCTCCTGTGCCACAGACCCAGCTGGGGCCACTTCCAACAAAGGGAAAGCTAATTAGTTCCAAGAGTTGTGGGTGGGGGGCATTTATTGCCTTCAGGTGTGCAGGGAAGGTTTATAAGGGCAGGCTGCGCTTTTCCTGCTTCTGCTTGCAGTGCGAGGGCTAGTAAGTTCTGTGGGAGTGTGAGGCCTGGTCCAGCCTGGTTCTTAGCTGAGAGGTTTGTTAGCTGCTGTGGGGAGTGGGGTTAAGGCCTGGCTTAGCCTGGACTGCGGTGAGTTAGGGCGGGGAGTGAGACCTCAATGGGGCTGGCCTTGCAACTGCAGGTGTTCAGCCCCTCAGCGCGGTTGGAGGGGCATAGGTTATGGTTGAAGTTAACTAATTCTGTTTATTTAAATCCAGATATGATTTATCTCTGCTGAAATGTGTGGTTAGGAAGGTGCTAGAAGGAATAAAAGGATAAAGTAAGTGTAGTCCTGCTTTTCATCATGTTCATAAAATGTTCTTTGAACTAGTACTGTGAAACTTAAGTATGTCCCTACTGCTTTTTAAATTGAGGGCTACCAGTAGCATTCCAAAGGAAATATCATTCATTTGACTTGGGCTCTGACTGCAAAACAAGTTATGTAAATCTTTTTTTTTAGTGCTGCCTTAGGCACACATTTAGTCTTTAAAATGTCAGAAAGACACATTATAAGGAAAATAATTATGTGTTATTGTCAACTGTGAAATAGTTCTTCAACTGAAAAAAGTACAGTACAAGTAAAAAAGTACTTGTACAAAAAAGTACAATTATACAACAAGTACAATATTTCAAAGAAATGTTTCTCATTATTTTAGTGTCCTCTTGTGGAAGAATGCTGAATTGAGAAAATACTGGAGTTTTTTTGTGTACATGTCCAAAATATTTAGCCTTGGGGGTGAATTTTGAAACGTGTTTCATTCAGGATTACTGAAAATCTGTTGGGATTATTTTGTTCAATGAAGTATAAAATTAATGATGTCTTTTCCCCTTTAATTTTATTCTCATCCAGATTTCTAGAATGTGAGGCACGTTTTAGAGTCAATATGTAGTTGTGAACATTTGTAAAAGAGGATCAAGGAGTACATCTCTATAGATGTGATTTTATTTTCTTTTTGTGAGTGTGATGTGGTAGATAACCAGATTTTGTAACCTTTGAGTTCCATTCAATCTGTTGTGAATTTACATGATTCAATTATTTTTTTCAGCTTGCCGCTAATGTGTTTTGCACCATAAATGGATGGGTTCAAGTTATTTATGTAGTAAGGGTGAGTGGATTCTTAGAGTCAGGGCTTCCTGCTGTCTGGTTTACAGCATGTAACATCTGAAAGTTCCTCATCTTAAAGACATTCTAACTCTAATATGTTCAAGTGTAGTGTCTAGACAGGAATCTAGGAGTTCCTTGCATTTGATGATATTTTATTTTAGTTCAGCATTCCATAGAGCTAACTCTATATGGAGGGGAAAAGTATATGGAATGAGTGGGGTTTTTTTGCAATAGGAAAAAAAGTTTGAGTTCTTCTGAGGGAGACTTTAGTAAATGTTTTGGTGAAAGCAAAGGCATAATTCTACAATAATGAAAATAATATCAACATGTAGGTTTTCAGAGAAGCTAATTGCGATCCTCTTGCCAGGTAGTGTTCAAAGGTCTGTGAGATCAGCAACAGAGAACTTGAGTGGAAGAGCAAGAACAAAGATATGAATGTGCAGAAGAAATAAGGTAAAATCAAGAAGAAAGTGACTGGAAGGCTCCCAAATGGTATGTGAATATTATTATGTGAGAGACTTAATTTTTTTTCAAGGGGCCAAAAATTGTATATCAGGGAATTCTTCTTTTGCAGAAGAGTAAGGTGTTTGCAGAGATGATTTTTTTTGTTTTTATTTTGACTTCCTGAAATGTTAGTATTGACTTGTTTCTTTTTTTTTCTGCTGCCATTTGTGCTTAACAGGGGGTGAAGCCTGGGTCTTAATGACTTTTATTAAAATATGTCATTCTATTAGGATAGAGGTAGCAACTACAAGTCTGTTTCTGCTAGGTAAGAATACTGTACAACCATCTAGTGTAGCATGTGTATGTAGAATGTCTTTAATGGTGTAATAATCTGTAGTTAATTAAATTGCTATGAGGTTTTGAAATTTGTGGATGCTACAGTGTATGTGAAGCTTTTAAAAATGAACATTTGTAGTTTAAGTTTCATAAAGGGAATTATGGTCTTATGTAAATGCTAACATAGCACAGATTTAACTCAAGAGTAATAATGTTTATTAACAAGAATGAGAAAGTTGGTGCCTTGATCTGAAAATTATAACAGATTTCAGAGTGCAAATAAAGATTTTAGGCTATTGATTGTTCATTAATGAATGACAATCACAAGTGCTGAAGTATGTCACTTTTCAGTAAGTGACCTTTTTTATTTGGTTTAGCACTATAAATCACTAAAGCACAAGACATGTATCACACAAATGAAAACATGGTTATAGTCTATCAGCAACTTATCAAATACCATGGCTTAATTCTAGGAGAAGCTGAACTTTTTAAGTTAGCCTGTGGGAGCTGGATACACCCCTCCCCATCAGCTCTTTCAAAATTATGCTTTAATCATTTCTCCTACTGTGAAAGAATTCCCTTCCTGCTGCCTTAACACTCAGGTGGGCAATGAGAAAAAGTTCTAGAAGCTAAATGAATACTAACATGTAGTTCTTACCCTCAGCTGTATGCTGAAACACTAGAAGTGCAGAATCTTAGGAGAATAGTAAATATCACAATATTATTCTTGCTCATATTAATATTACCCATATTTTCATACAGGAAGTCTGTTTAAAGACAGTTTTGCAGAACCAAGGATTTCTTTATGAACTCCGTATTGCTGTGTCAGCTTTACTTGCAATTTTCAACACTGTGTACTTAAACCTACAGAGCAGTTTCTGGTATTAGTAGTGTAAACAAAAGTATTGACCTTTCAATGCACTTATCAAAAACTTCCTGGTGATACTGGGAGTAAAATATATGTGCCAGCAGGACAACTCCCACTTTATGCAAGTGTGAGATTGGAAGCAGATGTAGGTTTGAGGGATCCCAGCAAGTCTCAAACTGACTTTACTGCTTTAGGCTCTTGGCCAGACTGTAGTAGAGCACCTGCTGTAGCTCTTCTACCTATAACATGTAATGGTTACGAAATTGTCTGTCTCTTTCTAAGCATACAGCCTAGTGAAGGTGCATTGTGTACATCTTTCCTGGAATATGGCTTAGTATGTTATTTAATCTCCTCTTGTAGGGCTGGTGGGTGGCAAGAGGAGGCATCTCAGCCTGTGCCAACATAGCGAAGGCGTGAGAAGGCAAGAAGGATAGTTGCCTTGTGTGCATACTTGTGATGGTAATGTCAGTTTCTGAAATAGTTCAGTGACTTCAGAGATTCAGAAAAACCTTACAGTGCCATAGGCAGTATATTTAAAAAGATGGAATTAATGATTATGGCATGTGAGGATTGCTTTGCAGAGTCACAGTAAGAGAATAGCAATAAATGACTCTGTAATGTGCGAAAATAAGAGTAGCTTAGCTTCACCATGGACACTCAAAGTATTTATAGCTGCCCTTGAGTCCAGGAGAGTTAAAGAGTTCAGATTTGCATTAGGGATTCCCACTGACCCTTCAGATTACCTTTGATGATGTTTAGTATTAGTGACAGGTTCTAATTATACTGCTTACAGTTCTTTGGCCAAGTGGAGGGTGGTTTCCCATCGTCAGCAAGGCCTAGTGCATGGGTCTTGACCTAGACATAAGATCCTGTGTGTCCTCCTTGGATAGAAAAATGTTTTCTTTGCATTTTCTTCATAAGGTGCCAGGGCTGTGACGCTAAGGTGGGAGTGTCCAATTGCCTGGACCTCAGCAGATGCCATCTTGTGGCTCTGGCAAGTGCAAGGGCAGTACTGCAGTTATGATCTGATGGGCTCCCTTGTGCAGCCTCTGTGGTTGGGCTGCCAGCCCTGTCCAGGAGTAGACACTTGCCAGCCTTTTCTACAGAGATGGTGGAAGACAGCAAGAGGAAGCTATCATTTCTCTTCCCATTTCCGTATGAATGCTGCTTAGCTACAAGGCTTGGCACACTGTCTGCATTGCTCTGTGTGGTTGCAAGTCATTTTCTTCCATTGCTAGTGGACAATAGGGGGAGGGGCTGAATTACTTGGTGGCAGTTTTAGAGTGAGAGAGCGTTGCTCTTTAGCTGAATGTCATTCCTCCTGGCAGGGTTTACTACTACATTGTCACAGGATGATCATACATCTGCAGCCCTGTGGCTTTCTGCTTATGGAGATAGGGCCTGCAGAGAGCAAACATTGTGCCCTCATGGGAACAGGGTGCAGGGTGTCCCATGGTGAGGTGTCCCTAAAGTAGCTTTTAAATGAAGAAGGTTTCTTGGATTTTCTGCTCTTGCCTGCTGGCTTTGCTCTGTCAGCTTTTTTGTTGGAGATGGAAAACACATCTGTAGGTGTTCTGGCCACTTGAAGTAGTCCAAGTTTTATAGGCTTAAACAGCTCTTTATTTTAGATCTTCTGATCTACTCTGAAAGGGATATACAGACCTGCTGAGAGGCTCAGTTTGAAACCCTGTCTGCTGCTGTCTCTGTGGTTCTCCGAGTTCAACCTTGTCCTTGTTTTGCAACAGGCTGTTAGGCTTCTGTAGTGTTTTAGGACTTTAAGGACTCATCTATGAGGATTGCTGGGCACTTTCTTGCATGAATTACTGTAGCTTTACCTTTGGCAGCAGCAAAGGGAGCTGCCAGAGATCTGACATAGCATTTAAAATGTCAGCTGCCAGTTTACAGCAGCTGCCAGCAGTGGAGCTCTGGCGTGGGGAATGCTGTCAAAGGATGAATGTAAGCAATGTTAGTGTGGATGTAGTGAGAGTCAGGCTGGGACTTGTCTACAAAGTATCTTCATACTGGTAAAACAGTGTCTGAAACCTTCCAGCAAGTTGTCTCATGTTCTGCTTGGGTCATATGATGGTGAACAGTACAGACTCATGACTTAAGTTTTAATTTCAGCCCTGAATATAAGTAACCGGACAGACTATGGGGTTTGAATTGATGCAGTAGTCCTGTGGAGCTATAGTTTCTTCTGAGTGAAAGATGAAAAGAAAGCACTAGGCATTGAGAATCTTAAGAATCTAAATGCTAGAAGCAATCTCATTTGTTCACATGCATGTCAATTCTAATGCTTTATGTTTTTGAAGTAACATTTAATCTAAATTTGTTTGGAGTCCGTCTATAGATTGGACTCAGTTAACACATGGGGTGTAAGTAAAGACCAAAATGAATTAACTGCTGTCCTTGTTTGTCATCACTGCTTTTTCAAAAAGATGCCTCTGGAGAGGAGGTGTGTTTTCTCCAACACTTCAGTTTGAAAGTTTAGCTGCAGAGCTGTATTTGAAATGTGTGTATTTCTGCTACTATGGGTCTCAGCATTAGCACAAGATGTACATTTCTTGCCCTGCTCTAACTACTTTGCCCATTGCAAGGTGATAATGACAGTTGTTCAGAGTTCAGAGCCTGGCCATTTAGCTCTGATTGCCTCTTACCTCTGATTCAGGCTCGATGCGTTAACTGGGCCTATTGAAAGTAAGAGCATCTGAGAGGCTGATATAGAGATGAATTCAACATCAGATTATAATTCATTTCTGGGACTTAGCTTTTCAGCAGAGAATTCCTGGAAATGTTCATGTTAAAGGAGGAAAGCACGTTGTGTGTGTTTGAGTTTTATTGATTTTTCATTGGCTGATTAGTAATGTGGTGTGCATGCCATTGTCCCTCCATGGCAAGAGGCAACATGAATTAGAATGGTCTGTATGCCAGACTTGTTGATATTATAGTAATCATCTGGGTCCTGCGTAGTATTTACTGCATTTTTTATTTATATGGAAAGAATATAAATATGTAGGATAAATCTTACAAAATTACCTCTTTTTTTTACCTAGCCCTTCACTTACGTGTTGTTTTTGTATTCCTTTTGGTAAGAAAATTTACACTAAGCAGTTCAAACCATTTTTAAGATGTTAATGTTAGTTTGTGAAGTTCTGCTTTTGATAATGCCAGTAAAGAAGCACTTAATGGAAATCAAATTCCAAATATGCATTTGGGAATCATGTCTACCAAGACAAGAGAGGCACAAAAGCATGCATGATCTTGTTGATGTTCTGACTTTACTGCCTCGTACAGGAAAAATTTGCATAAAAATTCTAGATTCTACTCTGCATTCAAAATCTGTTGCGTGTTGTAGATTTCTTTTTAGTCTAGCAAGGCTTCTGAAATAGGCAAAATGCCAGCCTTAGAACATAAAAGGATTACCTCATCCAAACTGCCCAAAAGTTGTGACAAAGATCAATAGTCTTATTGTCTTTCAGGATTCTTTTGGCTTTCTGACTGAATTCTAGGGAAAGAAAAAAAAAGCCTCAGTGTAACAAACATTTTTGAAGTTTGTAAAATATGTTAATCAGTTTTTTACTAATCTTTCAGCTTGGTCTTCCTTATTTTATTGCTGCTTTTTAGCATTTTTCTGCTGTTACATGTCATTTCTCCAAAGACAGACTGAAACTGTAGCATGCCTGTCTTTTGTTAATCTCTGTATTTCTGTGTTACCTTCTTTCATGTCTTCATGTTTATTTGGATGTAGTACATGCATTTCAGGAATGAAGAGGTTAGTAAGCTTTAGCTACCTCATAAAGACATGGATGTTCTTGACAGCTGTGGTACTTTTTTTTGTAGTCACAAACAATGATTATTATTCTTTTTGGTTGCTACATTTCCATGCAATCAAACTATGTTAAATATAATCTTGAGAATCCTTTTTACCTCCTTAAGTAGTAAAAACTATTATTGTGTCCATTTAGAAAATTGAAAGGGCAATGGTTTGTGTGTAATTGATGTTAATCTACCAGGAATCCCAGTGTTAAAAAGAATAAACGATTGATGACAAATGGTATTTTGCAGATGTTTTCATGATTTAATTTTTGTCATTACAAAATAAGATAAACGATTCTGAAAGCCTCACTGCTTTTGGTTTCTGATTCTTTGGTTAAGACAATGGCTTTAACTTAGGATGAACTAAGAAGCTGTTTTTTATTTTTTCTTTGAGGAAGAGGAAGGTATTAAAGCATTTAGAGTTAAATGGTCTGTGTGTACATTTTTATATATTTGCTTGTTTGCTTAGTGTCCTGCATAAGGTGAGTATTAAAGTTCCAAACAAATTACTGTTTACTTTTTCGCATTGGATTGGCTCTTTTGAATCCATCTTGTGGCTGTAGGTCATGCCATTCAATACACTTCAATTGTTTAATGACTTCTTTTCTAGACAATGTTATTTTGTAAAACTTGGTTACATAAGAAGTTATTTCAACCACATAATTAGCTTGTGGAATGAAGAAATCTTGTGAAAACCATAATACCTATGGGACCTTCACAGGCAAAACTGACAAGTTAGATGAGGGGGAGAAAAAAAGAGAACATTTCTGAGGTGCTACTCACTTCATCTGTATAAAAGCATGAGCAGTGACAAATGTAATTTCAAATCCATGGTTATTTTGGTCATGTCTGTCTAACTGTTTGCTAATGTGCATTTCAGGAGACTATAAATACAAAATGCATAAGATGTTTAATGCCTTTAAAATTTCTTGCAGCCTTAGTTCATGGAAGTAGCTGATATTTACAGTTTTGAACTATAAAGTTAGATTCCATTAGCTATCTTGCCTTTTCTTGCATTTTTAAGGAAAGAGTTGGAATATTTTTACTTATCTGTTACTTTTTATTTTCTAAGCTTACCTTGTGGTTCTGAGCCAACATGTTCTACCATAGCTGAAATAGCTTTGTCAAAAGCTTTAGCTTTGTCAGATCTGCCAATCCTGAGACAGAGTATGGTGCTAGTGTGTGGATGAGTTCAGCTATTTTTGACACAGAAAAGGAAGTCTTGGCTTTCAAAAATGAGAATAAGTTCAGGAAATCTTTTCTACTGCAAACGAGACTTACCTACAAATTAAATGAAGTTAGTCCTGTAGTTAACTGTGAATTGTGGCATGATGTCCTTAGCTAATATTTTCTTTTATTTCTTTGCATTTATTGTATTTACTATGTATTATTTATATATCAGTGTTAAAAGAATTACCTTAGTGATTTTCTTGGGGGCAGAGTCAGGTCCTCTTCTATTGCTGCACTCTGAAGGGGCCTGAGTTTAATAGTTTGACATCTGAGTACTCAGGCATTTTAATTTTAATAGTTTAGCCTTAATGGCATACTAAAAACACTTCCGTGTTCATTGTCAAAATCATTGTCAGAAAACTTTTATGCAAATTTCAAGTATGGGAACTTCATGACACAGCTGTGTGTGAGCAATAGACTTTGCATGGTGTTATGTACAAGACTTAATTTTGCAAGCTGCTGTATTTGCTGTTTTTTTTAGTGTGACTGCCATGACTCTCCTGAACTCTTCCAGTTCAACCCAGAAGCAACAACTAAACTGTTTGGCGCTTACCTTCATTATAAAGACCTCATGAGAAAAAGGAGTTCCTGATACTGCAGTGATCAATGGTAATAAGAATTTTGGATAAGAAGATACATTATAGAAAAGCAGAATATTAACATTCCTGTCATACAAAACAGTCTCAGTTGTCTTCATCACAACCATCTTCTATTACTGTGGAAACTGAGCATAATGTACTGAGCCACAGGCTGTTCTAGGTTTCAGACACTTTGCAGACAGGAGGTTCTTGCTTCTACTGTAAACTGTTTTAGTCCTGGAGTCACAGCAAGATGTAAAAAGAACAGGAAATTGAGTCAGGAAGTGCCTGCTGGTTGTTTACTAGTAGCCAAAGCCACTCAATTGAACAACTGTCCTGGTAGTATAGAGGCTCTTTTATCATGTAGTCCAGCAGCACTGCAGTTGAAAACTTTCAACTTGCAAGTTCAGTAGGAGAAGCCTAAGGGATAAGGGAGCTTCTCGTGTCAAGAAACCTGGGAATTCCTCTGGAAAAATAGACGAATATGCAATCATCATCAGGAGCTTTTTTTAAGCCCCAAAGTTACTTTTGCTGGTATCATCCTGTAATCAAAACTGATAAAGATACAAGCATAGAAAGAATTTGCAAAACAAGCTGAGAAAAAAAATCTAAGCTTCCCCCTGCATACAGTAGAGAGATTTTTAGTTCTCGGGCGTCTTTGGAGTAAGCAACCTGTGATGAGAAGAGTCAAACTTCTCAATACAGGATGACATCAAGATGCAAAGAGAGATTCCTCAACAACAGAGCATACAATATGGACAGAGGACTTCTTCAGTTCTGTAGCCACAGTTGCCTCTTAAGGAAGTCAAAGTTTTGCAGACTGACTTGAAAACCACTAGACCTCAGTGTGCCTTGTGGAATTAGATCAAGTGCTGACTGTACAGAAGTGTTTTCCTCATTAGAAGGTACTGGTGGTAGTTTCACATGTTTTCCAGGCATATGTAAACTTCTGGATCTACTAAGTAACATCCTTCTGCAGGTCTTTTTGCAGATTTTACAAGGAAAGGGAAAAATCAGTTTTCACTAAGTCACAAAAATTCAATGACGTCAGCTGTTCAGACAGTGCTTAATTCATCTTATTTCATTAAAGGGAAAGATGATTAAGATTCTGAATGTTCTACAAGGCTATGAATTAATCTATTGCCAGAAAAAGAAAACTCAGGAATTAAGACTAAACATTTGTCTTGTTCCACTGTTGAGCAAACTAAAAACAATACGTTTATATGCATTAACTGGAAGCCCTTGAGACTATCTTAGTATTACTGTCTACTATAGTACAATGTAGTGAGTGGACTGGGGAGAAAACATGTTCTTCTCTGAAAATGATAAAGATTTTGCTCAATCCTAGTGAAATATTCAAGTTGAGTTGGCCTTGACCTCCATGTTCAGATAATGAGGACATAGGTATTTGCTGGTTTCTGACATGGCACTTTTTAAAATTCCAAATGAGTATACAGGAAAGCATATTAAAAGCAATTTGTTCATCTTGTAAAATACACTACCTTGAAATTGTTATTTTATAGATAAGTTAGACTTTGCTGGTGAGAGGCAACTTGCGTACTTCCTGATACATGTAAGAATAGATAGGAAGGTAACTTGGAGTTCCAGAGTTAAACAGGCCAGAGACTTTTCAAAGATTTTTCTTCAAACTCTGTGTTACTGTATTTCTTATGATCCTGCTGTTTCTTCATATTCTTAGCAGTAATATGGGCTTATATGAAGTTTTAACAGTTCTGGTCATATCCAAGGGATTTGTAAGAAAGAATTTCTTTAAAATCCTTAGTTTAGATAAGCAGTAAGTCTTCATAGTTGCAATATATTATACTGTGCTTGCAAGGTGAATTTTTTTTAACTTATGAGTGTTCTTGGTTAGGTAACCTTGATGGCTTTTTGTTCTTTGAAGGATGTACAGGGCACACATGAGAAAACAGCTCCTGGGCTGTTTTCAGTAAAGCTAGGGTAGCACTGAGAATCTTAGTTTGGCTTGTGTTGTAGCAGATCTTTTGCAGTATATTCTTCTATGTCTGTAGAAAATGTGCAGATTTTTTGGGGGGGGGGAATCAGTTAAGTTCCTGTGTATTGGTCATTATCTTTGGAACTTAAATATTTCTTATTTTTCTGCCTATTTAATAGCCTCTATTACAAAGCTCCTTCTTCAACTATCCTTTTCTTTGAAGGGATCCTGCAGGTACCAACTACTAAGGGTAAGATTCTCTGTAGAAGATTAGTCAGTCTACTCAGGAGTTTATGCAATGTTAAAATCTTAGACTTCATTAAGCATCTTAAGGCTTAAAGCACTTCCAGATGAATAGGAGGGACCGAATATATGAGCATACTTTAGGGCAGATGAGTGATCAGAGGTGAGATTACAAATTAAAAGAAACTTTGGTTAAAAAACTCACCTTATCTTTGAAGGAATGTTGTCACTGTTGACAGTGTCAGGGTACTCTTCAAATTATATGCATGCATCTTCCCAGACTGTTTTATTTGGAGCTCTCCAACAGGCCCCAACCAAGATAAAAATCTCAAGTTCTCAGCTGGATCACCAGTGTGGGGAAACATAATGAGCAGGGTTTGTTTGCATATGTGAGTAAGCTCATGTATACGTCTCACATTATCCCCTAGTTATGTTTGTACCTGCTTTATTCTTATGCCAGAAACATTCAAATTTACCAGAATTAAAACAGTGATGCAGAAAATCAAAGGATTCAGAGAAAAGTAGCCCTGTCCAAGAGGACTTTGCAGAGCGAGTAGAAATATAACATTATAATCTCTCAGACACTGTTTTAGGCAGTAGTTTTGGATTGGGCCTATTAACCAAATGCAGAGTTGAGACTACAGACCATTTTAAGTACATTGAATTTAAAAAATGAGGAAGCATTGTTGTAGTGAATAGTGAGATATGTTTTAAAGTGAAAGGGATAGAAGATTTTGACTCTTCATGTTTCCATGTAATTAAAAGCAGATCTGTTGCTAGTTCATAAAAATAGTGTTCAGTTATATAGAGTCTTATTTTCTGGTTGTCAGCACATCATTTCCTTGCAAAGAGCTCTTGTCTGGGAAGCCTAATTTCCCTCCTCTGTTCCTTTGCTGCCCTTGTACAGGAATGGGAAGAGGTGTCCTGGAATGGCAGAGCACATGCTGTAGTGGTGCAAGCTCAGGCATATGCTCCCTCTGAATGGCACAAACTGGGTATACACCAGAGGTTTGTGTGCCTGGGTCAGATGCTTTATATCCTGAGTAACTACTGCTTCTCTTGTTGCTCTGTGAGCACAGCTGATGATTGCAGCTGTACTCTTTCATTCAAAGATACTAAAACATTTGCTTTTGAAAGGCGAGTTCACTTTTGTGTTGAATTTGCCACTGCAAGATTAAATGTTCTCCCAACAGCTGAAGTAAACCAAGGTAGAGTTTATTTTTAAGAATTCTTGGATTGAGAGAGTATTTATCATCACTGCTCTTAGATTTCAGAACCAGAAATCTATCTATATGGTATAAGAGCAAGGCCATGTGGGCCCAGGCTAATTCCCAGTTCTCATTCCTATTGATTCCTTGTTCCATGTATCAGTTTTCAAATCTCTTGGAACAGATGTAGGAAACTCTTCACGACATGTCTCCCACAAGATGGCAGCATTGCTTCAGGGAATAAAAAATGTCAGCAGCCTTCAGGGCGTCTGCATCTACTTTTTAGTATTTCCTTTTTATATAACATGCAGAAGAAACTATTAATGTGCTCATTTGTGCTATCTGAATTGGCACAGAAAGATCAGTTGCGAGATTAGATGGACTTCAGACTTCATTCATTTGCTGCTATGTTTGTGGCATTTGTGATAAAAATAAGTTTTCAGAGGACTAGAATGATTTTCTTGTGAACTATAAAATTATTATGATTCTTTGTTTTTTTCCAGTGCCTCTAAATTGAGATAAATGTGTCATTCCCATTCACTTACTGCCACTACTCTTTCAGGGTTTGATCCTACTCTCTGAAGTCACTGACTGAGGATTTTAGGGTAAGTCTTACAAGGAAATGTTAACAGCAAATAAGAAATATGAATACAGTGATGATTTAAGGTAGAATACATGAATTATCTTGCATCTTGTTCTTATATGATAGTACAGGTATGATGAAAGAGCTGCTGTTCCCTGAATCATTGTCAGGGCAGCACTGATTGACTTCTAAAGAAAATAGGTCTAGTTATCTCCATTCCTAAAAATAGGCCTACCAATTTGACTCTAGATTTAAAATCTTGTCTCTTCCTTCTCTTGAAGGATGGAAAATAAGGTAGCGTTTTGTTTAATTTCTTTAAATTGATATGTTAAGATATGATTTTACTTGGAAGTGCAAACTGAGGGACCTCCACTAGTAGTAAGGTAAGGTTACTGTGCTCATACAGCTTTAGCTACAGCCTGAGTCTATGAATTTAATGTTTGAGATGCTAAAATTCAGGTTTTTATATTTTCCAACCTGGAATGTATGACTTGAGTACTGAGATTCTTCTTTAATATGCTCAGAGCTTTCTTAATTTTGCATTTCCCCTAATCTTTAGTGATTCATAGCCTCCCAAACTCTATTACCATCACTTTTGTTCTTTTTAGCACATTTTTTAAATTGCTGAGGCAATTTTACACAGATATAAATAAGATTAAGAGAACAAAGCCAGAACCATATATGATAGTGAATGGGAATTATATTTTCCTTGTACTTTAGTATAGAGTCTAAGTAATAGATGAAATACATGGTATCTTCACTTATACCCCAATATATCTTCTGAGATACACCATAAGTGTGGCTCATGCATGGTAAAAGTGGAAGCTTTAGAAAAGTAATTTTAAACACTAAGTTGTACTGGCCTATAAGAGCCAAAACATTTCCATCATTGCAATGATGTTTAAAAGAGAGGCAGCATTAATCTAACCTCATATTTAGATAACACCTGTGCTGTTACCCTCCATAAGGCCTCTGCTGCTTGCCTCTTCATTCCAGGTAGTAGGACAAGTTTGGGTTTTATTGGTGTTCAGTGTAAATTGAAAAAGATTATGTTAAAGTAATTAAAAGCCTAATTCGTGGTTAAAAAAACAGAGGGTATGTTTAAGGAAACTGAGCAACTGTTGAGGCTGTTGGAGATGTAATGCACTATTGACCACAAATTCAAAATAACCCACATTAAAAGTTTGTATTTGATAGACTATTAAAAATTCACTTGCTAGTAGATGGGGAATTCATTTTGCTTTTAGTCTGTAGTCACTGTATGCGTAGCCTTCTATTGTGGAAGTTATAATGAACATTAATAACACTATTTTTTCTTAGAAAATAAAAGGTGTTTCACTTTATATGCTTCAAGGCTGATAAGAAACATGCCTGAAATACTGGTGAATGAGGTACTCAAACTTTATAGGACATATAAAAGACAAAAATGAAATACTTCCATGAGGTAGCTTTTATTACATGTGTTAGTTTCATAAGCCTTTGTGTCTGTCACATGAACAAATAGAAGATTGTGGTTTTAAGGGTTTAAAGGTCAATACTTTTTATGCATATTTAATACAAAGCAGAGAGAAGAATGTCCTCTAAGTGTTCAGATCACATAAAAAAAGCATCTAACAAGTGATATACATCTCAAATGGATTATTGAATTGCTTCCAATTGGTTATACTCATTTTTAGTGTGCTGTTTATGTCATTGATAAAATGATTCAGGCTTATGTTATGATCCACTGTATGAATTTTCTTAAGATGGTTTTGTTGTTCCTTGCCATTCTTTAGTGGTGTTGAAAGTCATGTTGACTTGCCTAAAATTTAGAAGTAGTATGGGAAGATCTGGAGGCATCCTCTTTTTCCAGTATCTCACTACAATCATGAGGGAATTTGTAAATATGCTTTTGAATACAGCTTCTGTATTCAAGACTTGCCACTCAATGTATTAGGGAAACTTGCTGAAATTTACAGTTTCAAATTTGCCTCCTATTTTACTTCTCCATGATTTAAGGATTTATGTTGACATCACAAAAAAGTTATGCAGAAATGAACTTGCATATTTAGGTTCGTTTGTGCGGTAAAGATGCACTGTTAGGAACTAGTTTTTCTAAGAGTACACATTATGGTTTTGAGGAAGAGATAAGGTTAATCAAAATGCCTTCCAGTAATTGAATATAGTTAAAAAATATCACTGGATTAGTTCGTTTTTAATTAAGTGTAAATAAAGTGTAATGAAACCCTCAAATTCTGTTCTAAGTTCCTGACCATTGTATAATGCAAATAGGTCAAAGCATAAATAGGCTTATGGGTAAAATGTTATTAATATTTTTGGTCAAAGACACAGAAACATATATGTATTGTGAATAACAAATTTGTTAGAAGTCATCTCTGGGCCAAATTCAACGTTTTCAGTACTGTAGATCTGGAATAAATTTAAACCAAATGAATGTCAGAAAGACACGATACATGTTTTGCAGATATCTTAGCATGTCTGAGCTAGTTAGAATATGCTCCATTTAGTGCATATAATTCTTCTGATCTTCCATCATTTGGGGAAGAGCGAGATGGGCTAGTGAATAAAACTTAAAAGCAGTAATACTAAGATTAACTCAAATGGAGGATGTCAATATAGAAAACTATCAATTATAAAAAAACTAAAAGGAATGAAGATTTTTCAGATGCAGAACACTGTTCCAGATGCAGGGAGAACATTTGTAATTCCTTTCCCAGAGAGGGGAGAAATAGAGATGATGTTTATTCATATGTGACCTTGGTATTTTGCAGTATTTTGCGTTGTGAACAAAATCAGACAGTGTGTTTTATTGAGAATCACTAAAGTAAATGTGGCTACCTTGGCTGTATTTTAAAATGAGCACTAACACCTGCTGTGAGACTAAAGCCTTTAAATGTGTTTTTCTAAAAGATAAAAACTCCCCAAACCAACCAAATTTCACAAACAGCAGAGAAGGACATGCTGTGCCTTTCATTTAGAAATCGCCTTTACATTTTGGAGAGAAACATTGCTTAAAAGTAGTAGGTGCATGATGCAATGTAAGTTTGTAGCAGTCCATTTAACTTGGTAAGCCTTTACTTGATCAGGAATTGTTATAAGAAGACATGAGTACTTTTGGGATATCTGTTGAATGGGTAGTGTGTAGTGGTAGAAGTTATGTATGGCTCAAACATTAGTAGAGGAATTCTCCAATACCTTTTGGTATGGAGAATTGGCATTTGCCTTTAATAACCTCAAATTCTGCCTTTGCCAAGTTGTGATGATTCCCAGAGACACTCACTGAAATAGTTACTGCGTACGTTTTGGGGAGCAGTAGAGGAAGATGGGCTGTGCACTGAGAATGTAAGATTCAGGATAAGCAACCTTAGGCTAAGGTTAGCATGAGAACTTGAGGGTATACAGACAGTTTAAACTGACCTTTCTTCAGGGGGGAAAAAACAGGTGATATGTGTGGCTGGCTTGGGGAAGAGGAGATATAGGAAGGTTTTGATTTGAGTTTTGTATTGGATTGTTTCCTAGAAAAAGGAGCCAGTGAGGGCTTGGGTCTTTTTTCTAAGTGCTGAACAAGTTTAGCTTGTACTTTCCAAGGTCCCATTTCAAACACTGTTCCAAATCACATTAGTAGTCATGCCACTTAGTCTTCCAGAGAATCATAGGATCAAGAAGATTGGAAGGGATCTTTAGAGATCATGTAGTCCAACTCCCCTGCACACACAGGGTCACCTACAGCACATGGCACAGGCTGGAGTCCAAGTGGGTTTTGAAGACCTTGAGCAGGAGACTCCACTGCCTCTTTTAGTAGCCTGTTCCAGGGCTCTGCCACCCTCACTGTCAAGAAATTTTTCCTTAAGCTCCTGTGGAACTTTTGGTGCTTCAGTTTGTGGCCGTTTCTTCTAGTTCTGTCGCTGGCCACCACTGAAAAGAGGCTGACCTCATCCTCCTCACTTTCTCCCGAAGATATTTGTATACACTCATTCTCAGCCTTCTCTTCAGGCTGAACAGACCCAGATCTCCCTGCCTTACCTCAGAGGGGAGATGTTCCAGGCCCCTAATCATCCTTGATGTATTTGGAAGCAATATAGCAAGTTTTTAGAATAAGGATCTATCAATCTAAAGTAGTGATGATTATGTGTATAGATTTCCAATACTCTGTGCTATTGAATAATCTTAGACTGACCCATTAGTAAGGATGAAATAGCTATGAGTGTTTTTATCACAATTTCAGCAGCGATACTGAATTAGCAACCAGCAGGGACTGAAATTATGAAATGTACTTTGAAATAGTACAAAAAGTAGGAAATTTGGTGTTTGAAGATGTATCTTGACAAATTCAGGAAGGAATCATATGACTGGGTAATATATTTCTGAGTATTTCCAGGAGATAAGAGTTGTTATACCAAGCTTATTTTATGTTTAATCAATAATTCAAGTTACTTGAAGATTTCCACTGAGTACTTGGAGAGAAAGAAGGATTCTTTTTGTCTCACCCTTGTGCTTTTTTTTAACATTTAGGTATTTTGTTTCTTCGCTTGCTGGGCTAATTCTGACTAAAGATGGGAGACTGAACAGTACTGTGCTGTCATTTCTGACTTTTGGAAGCTCAGTTATGTTACCCTCTCGTGCTTGTCCATGCTACCTGGTTTGCAGTTGCCTGATCTGGCAAGAGTGAGGAATTTTCTTCTTACAAAACTGACTCCTTTTTCTCAGATTAGCAGATAACATGGAGATTTCTGGTTTTGTTCTTTTGTTTCACAGAGTATAGTTCACTCCCAAAGGTCAGTTCACACCTTTACCATCACTCCATGACAGTGCAAGGCCTGTAGTGTTATTTGATGTCCTTGTTTTTTTGTATATCTGTAGTATCTGAAGATATTTATCACTCTTTAAAGATGTGAGATGAAGGGTATGAACATTTTACAGTTCTCTTGTGTGCATGATTGAGTGGAAGGGGTGTTTCTGTGCATCTTGTTGGAGACTTCAGGAGAAACTAAACTCAGTGACTTGTACTAGGATATACACCTT